GCAAATGTTTTTTATTAGCTCGCAATTTTCATCAAAACTACTTCAATGAGGAAAAAAATAAAAATTTGGAATATCTATACATGAGGGGCTAATTGATCGGATCTATCGAGGGGATTGGATTATTTAATATTCAAACTGTAATAACGGAATTAATTATCTCATCAGGCCCTACGGAAAAAATATTTCCGCACGTTTCGAATTAATAATGCATGCAGGTTTGTCATAAATCCTTGAATTCTTAAATCCATATCTCTCGTTTTTACATCCCTTCTGCTCTGCATTCGTATAGACTACTTTGCAACTCAGCACCGAATGGTAGAAAAAACAGTAAGAACACGCGGTATAGGACGGTAATGTATAACGACTATACGTGACGGCTTTTACGATAGAGTAAGGGTTTTTCATCGAGATGAGTTATCCGTTCTCATTTTAACATCCAGTACGAGGGGAAAAATTGGGTTTCGGAAGAAGTAACTAACGACGAATGGTTTTCAAACTTAATACAATTGAATAATTATGAACAATTTTATAAAAGTACGGATGAATAAATTAAATAGAAAAACCTAGTGAATTTGTCAAGACGTTCTATTGAATTTCTATTCTTTTCAAAAATTGAGAAGATTGACAAAAAATTGAAGTGAAAAATTCTGAGCTTTACGAAAAAAATGCAAAAAGTTTGGGGAACGTCGTAAAATGCATGATCTCATTCTTAAATTTTCCGTTTTAGGCAGACAAAATTGTAAAATCATGGTAATTATTTTTTTGAAAGGTCGAGAATATCTTCGAAGAAAAATTAAAAATTGAAAAACATTGGAAACACACGGACAGAAATTTTCTAGAAAATTCATGTAAAGTCCCATTTTTCTATCGGCAGAAAGACGGAAATTCCACAATTCATATGAATTTGCAAGTGAAAATGAATATTCACTATCAAATCCCCTTGAATTTTTGGAGAATTCCTTTAAAATTCTTGGAATTCCAGTAATTTTTGAAGGAATCCCCTGAAAATTCAGAGGAATCTTGCATTCAACGAGAGATTTCTCTCAATTTTCCTGATTTTTCATCAATTTTCCCGGAGTAATTAAACTGAAATTTACAATTCCCACGCATTCCTCCATGAAATTACGAATTTTCAATGGCAAAATGCCGGTGAAATAGAAATTTCTGCGGAAATGTTACTTGTTAGCAATTTCTAAAACTCTTATCGGAAATTTCAGTGAAAAATGTTTACCAGGACGCAATATATTTCTTTTGGGAATTTCCCACTGAGTTCTAATTATTGTATTCCTCCGCGTAATGTTGGAACTATTCCCATGTCATGCATGCGCTTCATTAAAAACCCAATTTTCACTGTGACTCCTGCATCTTCGGTGCTGGTGAATAGGTCTAAAACAAACGGACTTGTTTGATTCAGAAGCTCGTTACCAGTCTATCCATTTCCGCAGATCTTTTATTCATTTCCTCTATTTTCGCTCGTTGGATACCGAGCATGCCCTTCGTTTCACCCCCAGATCTATGATCAATAATCCGGAACAAAAAACACTGGCGGAACCTCAAAGCACATTCCTGCCACCCCACATACATCCGGTGAATCCCCATCATGGAAACTGCTAATTGAATTCTCTCCTGCTTGTGTATTCTCTTTTTAACAAGAGCAACCAGAACCTGGGGGCGTAGTCTTCCTAAACAAGTGCATCAGGAGTGAATCTATCAGAACCACTCCTGATATTCTTAAAACTTTTCACAAGAACTGATGGAAATATCAATCCAGATATTTTCCTTTTATTCCAAAAAAAGAAGAGAAATTGTATCAACGATTTTGCTCCTTCCCTCGTGTGTCACTTCCTCTTGTAGGAAAAATGCGCAAAGAATTCCTGTGTCCAATGTAATTCATATCCGTCAATATATATATGTAAAGAATATATTATGGAATAACTGGGTCATTCCCCAAGTCCCGTGCGCGGGTCCTGTCTCGGAAATTCCGGTGGTTTTCTTTTATATTGTGGGTGTTATTGATGTGTAAAAAATAAGATTTTTTCGGGGGATTGAACAATTTTATTCCAAAATATTCTCATTAAATCGAACGCTTTAAAAAGGAATCCAACTAGTCGGTGAAGATCACCAAATAATTTTCTTCGTGAACGATGAAAACAAATTTCATTGACAAAAATGACAATCTTCCAAAAATCGTGACTTTTGCATTTTTAATTGTTACTATTTTCCAAGATTTTTTTTCAAATGTGCGTCCAGTGCCCAACTGATCGGAGAATCCCCGACATCGAATATTTTTGGGCGTCGAATATTCGAAATACATTCAGTACAGAGTTTGTGTCATTTGATCTATTTCTTTATGCATTCACCCCCCGACACCATCACCAACGAATGATTTTGCAGAGGAATTGGGTTTAACATCACCAATCGACTGCGCCTTTCACCGTGATTCCGATCCCTAGAATATATGAATAAAATTTCCGGTAATCTCGATAATGGAACATTTGGAAAATTTTCCCACAATTTTTTATCAATTCTTTTGCTGACGGTTTGAGTCGAAATCTCCTCACTCCCCGCTTCGCTTCCAGCTGAGTGCGTTTTATCTTATGTAAGGCAAGGGTTTCATTCTGCGAAATTCAATATTATGGATGAGATGATTGTGATAATTCAATCGGCGAGGGATTCAATCATCGTCGAATGTTTGTAGTGATGTAATCAAGGTTGACAATCTCCAGTACTTTCTTTCATTCAGCACGGGCTCACAGAAATATACCAAACGGTAAATTATGTTTTGCTAAACGTAATTTACACTTAACGTCAATATTATGTCTGGTGAATTTTTTTTCTGTCATGAAAATCGAAATTTAGGCGTATACGCTTTTTTTTCAAAAAAGCGCATTTTGCGGTCACAATAAAACGTAAATTACGACTAAACAACGGCTCTTTTACGTTTCACTATTTTTTGTACTGGTGTAACTAGCGAGAGTACTCTAATCGTCTCCCCTCAAGAAATCGTAAATTACTTACGTAAGATCTTAATCAAAACATATTTTACGATTTACGAAAAAAAAAACATTTTTAATTACGGAAAAGTAAACGTAAAATACAAAAAATACAAAACCGTAAATTCCGTTTATGTGACCGTAATTTACGTCGACTTTGAGCATAATTGATGAATACGAAATCATCAATTACGTTTATGTAACCGTAAATGCTCTTCAGGTGTTGAAAGACGCCTTAAGCGTATACGTTCAAGTTTTTCAGTGTTTGTCTCTGCTGAGAGGAGGTGGATAATCTCTGTGCCGTGGGCATCAATTGCCGTAAAGGGGTAGAGTGAGGAACACTACTAGGGGGTTGGAAACCAGTTGCGCACGCAAGCACTGAATGAACGTGCTTTTGAACAGTCAGTATCTCTAGTGGTGTTCTTCAGAACGGTGGAGTGAATTCGTGTCTTGCTATCTCCCAAGATCACACTCGTGACAATTACGGGCTGACGGGATTATGATGTTTCTCCTTCATAAACATGAAAAATGTGTCATTCAACGATTGACGTATACCATTATCCAATTTTGCTTCCCCACATCGTAATTTCGCATTCAATTTTTTTAATGAAAAACCCAGGAGATTGAAATTGCAAACTTCTGGTGAAGTGACATAACTCGAGCGGTGCCAGGGATGCATGAATTAATTAGCGAACTTTTATGGTCCGGGTGTATGAATAATGCGAAGAGTTGTGCGTTATTTCCGGCGTGAAAAATTCTCGAGAATTGATGGGAGAGGAATGCCACGATCGTTCCTATTGATGAAGATTAACCCATTGACATGTAGATTACCCGTGAAACCAAGTTAGGAAAGTTAGGAGCCACCACGAAAGCTGAAATAAACTTGAGCATCGAAGTCGAATACCACCAGAAACAGGGAATCTTTTCGCTAAAAACATTTATCGAAAACTCGGAATGGTATTTGATGAAGAAACTTGCCGATGAGTTTCCCCATCTCTCAACAGTGATACAAGACTGTTTCGAGGCAATTTGTGAGGGAATTCTTCGCAATTTTGTGAAACTTCGGCAGCTGCACGAAATGAAAGTTGTTTCGATGCGTTGTTGTTATGAAGATCGGAGACAGGAGTGAATTGTCACCATGAGGCATTGAAGTTTTGGACAAAAGATTGAGACTCACAATTTAAGATGAACGGGGTGACTCTGGAACTCCTGTACAATTGCAGTGCATCAGTGCTGGATCAGAACATCACATACATGAGCATCAATCGTAGTGAATTGCTGCTGATGCTCGATGAAATACTGACACGTTCCACCAAACGCGAGGTGCTCCGTGCTAACTTGAGCGATTGCCTTTTGACAGGCCAACAGCGTCCATTCGATCTGCCCTGGTGGCAGAAGCTCTCATGGTCAACGGTATTCGCTGTCATTCTTCTGATCGCGACAGGTGGCAACATCATTGTCATGTGGATTGTCCTAGGTAAGTGGCAGCCGATTCATGAGGACATTGACGGATAACCGGACGTAACTGATACTCGTATCAAGTGCTTGTCACCAGAATTGGAGGATTACGCAGACCTGATAATGCCTCTTGTCCATCCATAAACTGGTCAATATCATCTGGTTATAATGTCTGAATATCGAATAGCTTCAGGGCACCATCGAGTTTGCAGGCGGTTTGTTCGACACTGGACTTGAATAATTCAATTGCTGTAATGGATACTGGATCGATTTTGTTAATTAACTTTAGAATGGTATTAATGCTCCTCTTTGCTGACTTCATTTGATATTCAAGTACTATGGTGATGCATTTATCTTCATTCTATCTCATTTCGACTACACTATATCGGGTAATTGATTCGGTACAGGGACCGTCTCTTTTAGGGGGTTGGTGTTTGTGGCGGAGGGAATTCACTCGGAAAGGTGTGGTTAATTTAGTTTAGACAAATCTCGTCAGAAGGAATTGGGGGTTGTCTGATGATAAGAATGAGGTCGACCCTTTTTTGTAAGGAGTAGAATTAGTGAAGACATCGGTACAATTATTTATTCTAAAATGAGTCAAGTTTTGCAATAGTTAATTAGTTAATAATAACCAACAATTTTTTAATTCAATTATTAAATTCATCATCAATTGAATAGTTAAATTGACAATTCCATATTGTCAATTATTTAATTCATAGTCAGTTGAAAATTTAGACTACCAATTATTTTATTATTTTTCTAATTTTAATGACGATTAGTGAAGCTTAATTATTTTAAAGTGCAACTTGTCTTAATATCAAAAATATAATGTGAGAAAGAAATTATGCGGTCGTCTAACAATAAGAATGGAGTTGAAGGTTTTTTTTGTGACGAGTACTAGAATAAGAGCAGACATCGGTACAATCAGCAATTTTAAATTAAGTTAAATTTTGAATCAGTCACTTGGTTAATAATAGCCAACAATTTTTTAATTATTATATCAATTGAATATTCAAAGTCCGAATGTTGGCTCAAGAGTCGATTGACAATTCCACATTGTCAATTATTTAATTCGTAGTCAGTTGAAAATTTAGACTATCAATTATTTTATTATTTTTCTAATATTAATGACGATTAGTAAACTTTAATTATTTTAAGATGCAACTTCTCTAATATATAATGATTGGTCCCGATCATGTGAGAAAGAAATTGAGGAGTCGTCTGACGATAAGAATGAGGTTGACGCTTTGTTTCTGAGGACTAGAATTAAAGCAGACATTGGTGCAATTATTAATTTTAAATTAAGTTAAATTTAATGTTTTTATTCAAATCAAATGTATATATAGTTTTTGAAATATCAACGGATATTCCAGTGACGCAAGTAGCAATTTTATAAGTCACACGTGGAATCATTGTTCAGACGAACGAATTCATAAAAATTTAATAATTCCGTGTCATTTCTCTATACACTATCTATCATCAGTTACTCAGTTCAGCAACTTCTTGACATGAAATGAAAAATACAATGTGAATTTAATTACGAACGAGTGTGAATCAATTAACAAATAATTCACCTCACAAATTTTCTTTCATCAAACAAAAAACCCAGAATTTAATTCTCGCTAGTTGGGATATTTCATCAACACCCAATGATTCATTCTCTCCTGGCCGCGATTTTAAACTTTTCCTGTTCATAATGATACAAAACCACCCCTCAGGCTTACCCAGTCAACTCGCGTAAACTTTTTTCCACCCCCTTTCATTAAAATTTTTCACAATCCGGAAAAAGTGCAAATATTTGGATTCGAGGGAGGATTGCTGAGTCACATCACCCACCAGTATTGCGCTCTTATCTCGAATTTACCCGGCAAAACAATGGAGAGTACTCGTCATTAATAAATAATTAGTCCCAAACGCCAGAAGAAGGAAAATACTCATTTCCATTTACGAATACCTCATATATCCCCTTAAAAATGTTTCACTGAAATTTCGAGTAAATGTCTTGGAAATTTCTTCCAACTAACATTTCCACTGAAATTCCAAGGAATTCCAACATTCGTTTATCCTGTGTACCGATAAATGAGAATTTATTCCAATTTCGTGAAGCGCAAACATTCCGACATTTCTGGAATTTGAAAATTCGGAATTCCATTGAATGTTCATTAAAATTTGAAATTCCATGGTTCTCCCCCCCCGAATTGGTGTGGTACTGCGTGTAGTCTACACTGTCACGTGGATGTCTACACTGACAGAAAAATCTGAAGTTCGATTTACAATAAGAAAATAGTTGAGGCATTTTGGTGAACGATACGACTTTTTTTGTATGCGACACGTAACATTATAGTAACTTCACAAGCGTAATTTTTGCAAATCAAAATGCAGTTAAACTAACCAAAGTTCAAAAGTAACCACGACAAATCTATCGTGAGGAGAACTATAAAATAGTTGCAATGACTACATTCCATTGTAGTAATTACTTCTCCAGTCATAGTTACCGTAACCCATGAAAAATTGTTGAGGACATTTTGACTATAATTCGATGGTGATGGAATATAGTTTAGTTCATTCGTCTTTTGTATACTCTCTCGGGTGTTTACATTTTTTGTTCCCCAACCCCTTAAGATCTATAAATGTTGATAGTAGAGCCATATTGATTACCTCAAGTTTTAAAAAATATTTGAACATTACATGTCATAATACATATTACATATTGATATATTGTGATGGAATATAATCAGAAGAATTATATTTTTCTCTCAGTGTACCGGCGATGAGCAAACCCCCGAGTATTCTCCATTTCGTATCGATCCCGGGAAACACTATATCCTGGACTATCCCAGAATGTAAGTGCACGACTTGATGTACATACCCTGGATGGTTGCTACATTGCTCTGTCTCTGTCAACTTTCCCCTCCCTTCCCCTCCACGTGACCCTCCACACTTCCCCCTTCCCGCCCCATCCGCCGGCCGCTCAATTCCTAACGCTTTCAGGTATCCCAGTCCTTTGACATTATCAAGATGAATACCCTCCCCTCCCAATACACCCTGAAAAAAAGTTTAATCGCCCGTTCAATTGCTAGCGATAGGAGAGTATAAACTGCCGGAGTATTCCATGAAGGTGAATCAATAAATCTCCATAAAGAAATTGTGTTCCTGATAGAGTGCAGGAAGCCGCGTGCGGTGTAATCTCCTGGTTTTTTTTTATTTCATCATGCCGATATGCGTCTTAGTGGAGCCGAGGTGTTCTGTGAAAGGAAAGTAAAGCTTTGACAGGATGGTTTCGGTGCGAACTGAGGGAGTGGAAGTAGGAAGTTACAGAACGTGCTTCAGGGTCGACCTAAGCGGTTTAGGATTCTTGGATGCGGGCTTGGGCGGTCAATTTTCTCTTTTCTTATCAGCAAGCTATCGATGGCCAACCGGAAGTACGTACAAAATGTTCTATTGTGGGTTTTAGTGATGGTTTTCTGGGGATGGAAGTATCATGGAGAAAATTATTTTGTGAATTTCAACAATTAGTTGATGAATTTCACCAACTACACGGAGGGCAATTCTTTAGGAAAATTCTGGTGCTAGCACGGGAAAAGAGGCGCAAAGTGACGGCCAGAAAAAAAATCCCAGTGCCGGCAGTGGAATTTTTATTGGGGAAAACGTGAATTTTTCCCCATATTTCTGTGAAAATTTCTCTACCGTAGAATAAAATTTGATCATCATATATTAGCCACTGAATTTCGGGATAGAAATGAGAATACGATGACTCAATTTTTATCAAAAATTTCTCTCCGTGTATTAAGGGCAAAGACATCGCGAAATATTCAAATTTCACGGAAATTTCGATGTAACTCCAAATTTCTGAGCAGCAGGAAGACGAGAATTCCTGAACTTGTTTGAATTTTCAATCAACACACCAATATTTAGTACCCAATTACATTGAATTTCGAATTAAATGACAGTTCAAGAATACATTTGCCTGAATTTTCCTCATTTTTATTAATACCCGAGAGACGATTAAGTTGACATTCAGTTCCCTTGATCGTCCCATAAAATTTTGAATTTTCAACGACGAAGCTCCTTGAAACTCCAGTGAAACTGTGATCGGAAATTTCAGTCGGAATGATATTCCTTTGCTTCTCCATTCCTGAATCTCATTGAATGGAAAATCAGATTTAATGATCAATTTATACCGCACCGTTCCCGTCAATTTAGCATGGCAAATAGCAATAACTAGAGTGGAAAAATATTTCCATTTATTTCAGTGGTATACCAAAGTCAATATTTGCCATTAATAAAAAGTTTTTGTAACTACCCACATGGGAGTATAAAGAGAGCAGTATTTTCACAACTCATAATTCATCTCTGCCTCCGATATTCTGTCAATAGTCGTGTGATTTATTAACTTTTTTCATTTCCGTTAAAAGAATACACTATGTATTTTTTACTGCACAGGGGAAGAGAAGTTGGAAAATAGCGAGAATCGCTGCACAGAACCGGAGACCCACGAAATTGGTATCGATATCTACACTTATCTAATGCACAAATACCGGTACTTGAACGAAAAACAGTCCATAGGGAGAAGTTGGCTATTATAGCGAGATATTTCGGTATTTTGTAATGGGACAAAACAAAATCGCTTTTGCGAGCTTTGCTCTTCCAGAAGACCAAGTACATACCCAATTCAATTCATTTTGTTGCGATGAAAAACGGATTGCGTTGGGAGAATTTCGTTTTTCTGGGCTGATGGACAATGCATTTCCAAACCAATTGGAAATGTACCTGTTCTATTGCGAATGAATTACATTGAATGGAGTTATCATTGTTGCATTGGTATTAAGGAAAATATTTCATTGAATGTGATCAATTTGATTGGGTTTCTCTATGGATGAAGATTTTTTGGAATTGATGATAGTGAAACCTACAGCATTGGGATGTTATTCAGAGGTTGAGAATCCCATTTGATTTAATTTTGTTATAGGATTTCAATGAAAACCGGAACATTTATCACTTAATTACCCTGTTTTTAAT